TGGTTTGTTTGGGGGCACAAAGGCAAGTGCGCATGCACAAGGAACCTAAAAGCAAAAAGAAGCTTTCTAGGCGGAGCTGTGAATAGTTCCCTGTATTACACAGTCCTTCCACCAAGACACACCAGGCCCATTCCGGTCCTGTGGCACAGCCCGCTCCGCCCCACCCCGCCCTGATGCTGAGGAAAGGGATATTCGTCCAGTTCTCTCTCTGTGCCTGCACAATTAAGAGAAGTCAGCCTTGTGCCAGGCACCTGGGGACAGGAAGAAGAGGAAGACTGCGCCCTGGTCCCCAGGCAGAACCCAGCCCTAACTGAGCAGAGGTCAAAACCTCGGGGAGGCAGCTGGTGCGGCTCAGGAAGAACAGGTAGAGCCTGCACTCTGGGGAAGACCAGGTTGTTTCACAGAAGTGGGTGATGCTGTCCAAGGTGACCCTGGAGAATACCCGGGCAAGCCCGCATTCCACAGGGAGGGGGAGGGCCAAGTCAGAAAAAGAGTAATCTGAAAACTATGTAACAGGCTGGAAAGCCACTGGCTCAAAAGGCTGGGGGGATGTGACAGGTGTAGATGACCAAGATTAAGAGACCTTAGAACCACACCCACCAAGTACAGCCCTGGACCCTCTCTCTTTCCTTTGGAGCTTTGTCGGACACAACCCGGCCATGAAAGGCATTTTGGGGAACGATTGAAGAAATCTGAATATGGACTGAGAATTAAAAATTAGGAAATTGTTCACAGCGATCATGATATCATGGTTACATAGGAAAATTACTCTATTTTTCTTAAGCTGCATAATAAATAATGGTTACATACGCTGTTTGGTTTTAGTATATTAAGAACAACAATATGAAGTGAAAATAAAAGAAGAAAGCGAGTCATCTAAGTAATGTGCTCTCCATTGTTGAGAACCGAGAAGGTTATCCCAGGCAATTTGACCAGTGGGTCTGAAGGCAGTGGAGACCAGGGAGAGGTTTGTGACCCTACTGTGAAATGAGAAGACATGTACAGTATGTTAGATGGCTTCTGGGGGCTAGCTCGGACGAGACTGCTCTGACCTGAGGGACAGAAGGTAAGGAAGGGCCCAAACTAAGGAAAGGAGACAGGTATGAGTGGCACTTCGGGTATTGGGGGCGGGGGTGGAAAGAGTCAAAGAAGATTCAGGTTCCAAATTCGGCACCCAAAGAGAGGTGGTCACCCCTACGCAGGTGGCACATGGGGGGAGGTGGAGGGAGAGGGTGCACTGAGTGGGCCACCCAACTGGAAGTGCCCTCCCCCACTGCCATGTAATTGAGGGTATGAACTCCAGGAGAGGAGTTGTACTGTCTCGATCCATGGAGGAGAGGGGGCCAGAGAGAAGGGAAGGTAAAAGAAATCGTCGGAGAACACCTGCATTTGAGGAGCATGAGGGTTGGGGTTGGTAGCCAATAAAAGGCCTGATGGGGAAAGAGACCTGAGAATCCGTGCTTCTGTATGATGCCAGGCACCATGCCGAGAACACTTCTGGCCAGCCCAAAGCCAATCTCGCTGCCATTGAGCC